GGCTGGTCAACAGTGTGCTTTCTTTTTGATGGCTATTGTCAAATCGAGTTTGTAAACATTTTGGGCTTACAAGGAGTGTTTTTTCTAGAAATTATTATTTTCTAGAGAGATCGGCTTTGAGGTATATACCTTGAAAAACCAATATCATTTCTGAAAGAAACTCACCAGCTAGGCAAAGAACGACGGCCATATATGGATGAAGATGAGCATAGGCACTGTGTAACGTGGACACGGCATCGGAAAGCCATTCGGCATCCGTCAGAGGAATTGCACCCATTTCGCACATTTTCCTCTTGACGCTGGTGGCTACGTGTCATACAACTCTGTCAGCGATTCAGTTCACCGGCGGCCGATCATATATGTGAAGAACTGAATGCGTTCGTCTGAAAATCGTTTGAAAATTGGAAGAATTGGATTTTTATGCTGAACCATATGTACAGCCGTTGAACGATAGTGTAACAATCACACAAATACATAAACAGATCGAAATTCCTATAAACCTTGAAGCAACCAGGTGCTGATGAATTGGGGACATTTGGGAGATGGTGCAGTCAAAAACAATACGGCAAAATGGGCCTATTCACTTCAGCTTTATGTATTTATTTATTGCATGTTATACATTGGGCAGACTGAATGAGCTTTTGCCACATCCGTATGCCATTTCTCATGGAATGGCTGCAATGATATGAGAGGATAAAAACTGCCCAGGTACAGTAACCTACCACGGCTTCTCAGACCTGATTTTGTAGAAAATCTGCGAAGAAGGTACAGATATAGCATGAGAAGAGATAAGTCATGGTTATGGTAACGGAGAGACCTGCAGACGGTGTGGGAGCGTTTGGGAGAAAAGGGCGTTTTCTGCTCGGGAGAAGAGCTTCACAGACGAATCTGGTACCAACCGAAGGCAAAGGTGGAGCGCATCTCGAGAAGGGAAAGTGAGGACCGGCTGACAAAGCTAAACTAAAAGACTTCAAGACTCCATCTTTTTTAAACTAATTTGTGTTAGTGAAGCTGCTTTGGGCTTTTTTCGGCTTCTCCTATTGGAGGGCCTCAATTCAGTCCCGAAAGTTCTATTTCTGAGTACCGATTCATATTCGAGTGAGCGCGAAATAACAGAAATTTCCCATCAGTAAATTTTATTCGAACCAGAGCGAAATTAGGGAACATTGAGAGGACTGGAAAACAGATCTCAAAAAATCTATTGGGTGAATTGAAGCGGAAATACGGCATGAGATCTGAAGTAACCTCTTTAAATCATGGCTAAAGAGGGCGTGGCAGGAAGCATTTACAGATTTGCTGATCGGTTTATAAGGATCGCGCGTGCAGTTGCAGAAACGATCGGCCAAAGAGTGGATTACTCTTTGGTACCAGAACCAAGCGAACAAATGGTATCCGACGAAAACAAGAGCTTCGCTTGAGCAACCCATTCCGAATCTCTCCATGAATCCACCTAATTGCTATTCTTATTTGTAGCTATAAACGAATATTACCGAAAGAAATGTGAAAAGGTCCTACCAGAAAAACAAATGGTATTACCCGGGAACAATCGAATGAGTTGGCTCTCTCCCCGATTGAACTGGCATAATGTCAGAGACTAATGAACTTCCTACTGTATAAGACCACCTCGGTCGGCATTCTCATTTGGAGCCAATTTGGAGTTTTTCGAGAGTTCCCATGGAAGAGGACTAAAAGCGGAATAGGAACAGCCTGTCTCAACAAATCGGAATCACTTTAGAAGTGGTGCTCCTGAACCCTTGCTGGTTCCGTTCGAACGATCCTCGGCATCCCACTAAGCCATGCGTGAAGGCAGAATTGGAACAGTGCGAACACCTACGTAGTATTCCATTTACTACCGGAGAATTGGTTGGCCTCATTCAAATAGAAACGCTGTAAGAAAGTTTGGGAAAGCACAAACGATTCGGCACAATGTTCACCGGAAGATGCCGTAGTTGGAAGAAATGGAGAAAGACCTACAACAATCACGAGCTCTGCGAGTTCGGGGATTTTTCCCAAGGGAGAGAAAGAGTAGGTCCCGTCACATCATTCCTATCGTAGATACTGCCTTCTCAAATCAGTAATGTCTCAGATCTGATGAGACATCTGTCATTGCAATAAATGTGTGTAATTCGAGGTAAGCGACGATATCGGTTGACAGGTCTACAGGGCGGTTCCTTGGCCTGAAACCTCATATTTACCCTTACTACTCTGACGATGCATTCGACTCCAAAATGTATTCCAACATTAGAAAAACGTCCTTTGTCTGCTTATAGCTGTGGGAATGAAGTATTATGTTCTCATGAAACAAAAGGTAGCAACGACAAACGTATAGAATATTCAATTTTTTGCCAGTCTGTCCATGTCACTATTAATAAACTATCTAATTTGGGAATGGATTTGCTAATTTCTCTATTTTGCCGTCGATCCTAAACCATTTAGTACTGTCGATTCTGCTGTGGGTAGTTGGCTGAAGACAACGACTCTTACCAACTAAGGGAGTCACCTCAAGTTTAACGTCTCCCTGAGGAGAATGCGTTAGACGTAGATGTTTCGTTTCTACAGTTTCAAAAACATTACATCCTACGATTGTGAAACGTTGTGAAACGATCAGGGTGGAAGTGATAACAGATGATAAAGGATAATAAGTAATGAAGTGTATGCATACAGGATGAGTGCATTGAACACAAGATGAAGCAAGCACTGGCATTTCCTGTTAGGCTAGACTGGTAGATAGAGGGAGGAGCACAGATCAACTTTCCACTTCCCCGCTTCCCTTGCTATTCAAAACGAAACTCGCGGTACGGCGTGCAAGCGGGAAGGGAGGCAAACAGGCAGTTCCTTTCAGGAGAGCTATATTTCTTCTGATATCACTGATGTAATAAATCAAAGTCTGGAGAAATCCTATATACATGTACATGAGGGAAAAAGTTTTCGGCCTTGAT